TTTCTCCTGGATTTGTCTTCCACAGCATCACGGCGACCTGATCTGATCCTCTGGCTGCTCCTGCTGTTGTAGCAATGTTCCTGCATCATCCCCATCAGATCAGAGCGGTGAAGCAGGTGAGTAAAATGCCACCAGAACCCGAGGGAATAACAGCCACAACTAGAAAAAAAAAATACGCCAGGAATTTTCAACCAGCTTCTCTCAAAAGTGCAACAGCATTTGTTTGTTTTTATAAACCGTTATATTCCTGTTATTTCTTTTAACACGGGTCGTGGATGCAACTATAAACTAGAATTCCTCCGCCTCGCCTTCCCGAGTTACAGCACTGAACAACGGCCAGAAAGTGTTTTTGCAGAACATTATGATGTCACAGTGAAGTTGACCTTCCTTGAGTCAAAGTGAATGTTTGTGCCGATTTTGAAGAAGTTCGAGCGAGGCGTTACGGAGATATCACGGTTTATCAAATGTTTCATGAAGGAAACAAATTCAACATATTTAAAAACACACGATACTTTTTGTCGAGAAACACCGAACTTAAACACGTGGTAAGAGAAAACTCCGCGGCGGACCTTTAAAGGTTTCACTGAAAGACGCATTTTGTGTGTTTGCTGGTTTGACGTTTGACTCATCACGGCTGAGTCACCTCGCCTCGGCTCCACCGCGGCCTCCAACCCCCGCACTTAAAATATTCCATTTGTTTTCTACAGCGGACGCTTGTAAAAGTGCGTGTGGGTGTTGGAGCACCACCAGGTAAGTGTTTTGTTTTCCCCACTGTCAACGCACAGCACTTAAAAGATATGTTTGGAATCATTTGAGATTTTTATTATTATTTAAACTTCCAACAAAAAAAGGATCAAACCGACAAATTTGACTTAATAAAAAAAAAAAGTATTTTCAGTTTATCACCGAGCAGCAGCTTCATGCTACTGAACTATTGAGACTTAAAACAACACTGGGCCAAACATATGGAGTCATTGTAGTTTCATTCTCCTCAGTACTGCTGAGCATCGCGGTCCTCCCTCGGAGCATTTTAGAAACAATCACTATGAGAACGAATCAAAAAGCGCGGAGCTCCAGGCCGCACAGCTGAACAATGGCCGACACAGCTCCGTGAGGCCGAGGGGATTCTGCTGGTGTTTCTCTGCGGGTTCGTCTCAGCGAGCAGCCTCCTCTCACGCTCTGTCGTTTGATTTTTTTTTTTTTTTGTAATTATGAATATATAGATAATAAGCACTTTGAAAGAAATGTAACACACTATCCACTCCTGGTCTCTGGTGTGTTACGTTCAGGTGTAATCGGCAAACTTAAAAACTCTGTACTCACCAGTCAGATCGGCCTCGCGTCTTTCCCGTCTTGTATGTTTTTGCTGGAGAGCATCGTCAACACAAACATGAACAGACTGCGTGCCATTTCCTGATGTCACTGGGTATTAAACTCGTCATTTTTCAAACAGTTAACTACTTCACGCCGCCATTTGGAGCCGGCGTCTCACAAACTCCCCGGTGAGGTTTGAACTGGCCCAGTTTCCCACCATCTTGTCCCTCCTCGGCCTGCGTCTGCTCAGTTACAGTAAGACATGATGTAGAATAAGTGTGAATAAGCTGGAGATTTCCGTCACCACATTAACTTGAATCATCCCGTTACCCGGGAACATTTAATAGGCAGGGTAAACAAGGCTGAAGCTGGCGGGGAGAACATGTTTGAAGTGTCCTTAGAGAGCAGCCCATCTCAGGCGGGCTAAACTGCTGTCAAGTTCATCGATACTTGCTTTACACCACAGTGCACAAAGACAGCCCGAGTCCCGGCTGCAGGCTCCCGCTTTAAACAACTCCAGAGCCTGCTATCGAACTCCTCTGGTCGGCCATCAATATCGCCTCTGCCTCTCTCTCTCCTGCTCGTCACAGTAGTTAGCCATGCCAGAGAGAGAGAGAGAGAGTTGGAGGGGGGGCTGTGTTAGTGTGAGAGACAAAGTGTTCTCATAACCACGGGGAGGCAGAGGAGTTTGTTGTTTTCCCGCTGAATCCAGCTAGCACTCCGCACATGTGCTTCACTTCCTGCTGGACTCTCTTTTTTTTCCTGACTGAACTTAACTTCTGCAAGTTTCTCCTCCTTCACACCAGATCCACACACTCTTACAAGGAGCCATACATTTTTCATGACACCTTAATTAGACCCACAGTGCGCCGCCGTGGAGCTGAAGCTCCGTCCCACATCACCTGTGATCCCCGAAGAGAAAATGAATTGTGTCCCTCATTCATTTCACCGTTCGCACTAAAATCCCTCCATTGCTCTGAATCTCCTAAAAACTAAACATCAATCTACTCAGTGTCTTCTCATTGCATCTGCAGAACTCAAAGTCTGAACATCTTTCTAATGATAATGATAATTTCAGACTGAAATCAGTAAATTTGTGTGACCGACTAACAGAGATTAATAGTCCTGAAGCCACGTGCGTGCTAGCCGAACCAGGGCGGCTCTGTCGTGGAATAAAATCATGTTGTGACCTGCACTTTTAGTAATTCACCGTATTACAAATTGTAATAGAGTTCTGGTTTTCACTTCAGTTCTACTGCAAACCGTCGATCAACGGCTCGGCCTGAGAAGAAACTGCTCCACAAGAGATGAACATGGTTTGCAGTGAAGGATGAGATAGGAGTGGATGGTACATTACTGTATATTCTGTCACACACACACACACACACACACACACACACACACACACACACACACACACACTGCTTTCGTTGCTGGTAAAACAGTTGGTTGCTCCCCTCGGCGATGGGCGGGAGTTGCTGCATGAAGTGATTGAGAACAAATATCTCGGGGTCTTGTTCTTGATCGAGGGTAAAATGGAGCGTGAGATGGACGGGGGGGGTTTGGTGCGGCATCAGCAGCAATGCAGCCGCTGTACCGGACTGATGTGTGCTGAGTGTGGCGAGTCTGAAGGTGAAGCTCTCAATTTACCAGTGGGTCTACGCTCCAACACTCAGCTACGGTCTCGAGCTTTTGAGCAGTTGCAAATCGCGGATACGAACAGCTGAGACGAGTCTCCTCCACAGAGAGAGGGGTGAGGAGCTCAGACATCCAGAGTGGAGCCACTGCTCCTTCGTGTCAGACGGGTTTTCCGGTCACTTCGAACTGGTAGAAGACGCCGGGACAGGAAGTACACGTGTGAACTGGCTTGGGAACACCTCAGGGTTCCCTCAGGACGAGCTGGAAGAAGCTGCTGGGGAGGGAGGCGTCTGTACTGCCTCTGCAACCAGGGTGGTAGAAAATGAAGTGATGGACTCTCTAGTGTGATCGACTTCTGAAAAGTCAGGATATCTCTTTTTTAATCCCAACATTATGGAAGTGCAAGTAGTAATCTTGCAGAATTGTTGGGAAGGAAACAAACTCAAGACCTCGGCGGTTGAGAAGGTGCGGAGGCCGACTCTCTCTCACGGTGGATGTACAGCAAACTGGTGGACTCGCAATGTTCTTTATCCATCAGCAACATCTGACTGTCGAGAAATTAAAAAGGTAATTGGATTCTTTTAGTAGAAAACTTGAATCCTCTCCATCCTGAGAGGGTGCTTCGGTTTGTGCGACGACACTCCAGACGCGGCGATGTTGGGAGAGGGCACTTATGAAATCTCCAGGGGTCATGAGAAGCTAAAGAGGGTGCAAGGAAGTGGAATAACATCCAGAGGGGAGCTCTTGTGGAGGAATACAAGCTCAAGGAATGGAGAGAACACGAACGGGCAAAGGAGACATCCTGGGGGAGCGTGCACACTCCTGGATGTGTTGCTGTTTTCCCGTCTCGGTTCGAGGTGCCAGGCCCTGGATGGCTTCACGTGACAACCGTTAATGGCTGATGGAGCGCTGGCCCGCTGCATCCACAGCCTCCGCCACCAAGCCCTTCACCTTCCCTCATTTGGGGACATCGCCTCCCAATGAGTATCATTTGTCACCACCGACTTGCTCCATGCACACGCTCGTGCTGTTTTTCTGTGGCTCCAGCCCATTTCCGCAGTCGGTAAACAGCTAAATCCCTCTCCCAATCAATGCAGCCTATTTAACTTGAGCTATTGACTCGCCGGGGCCCTCAACAGACCTGAGAGGCTGAAAAAATACAAATTAGACAGGTGAGAAAGAACAACAGAAACGGTGACGGAGACTATGAAAAGTCACATTTTCAATAATGAGCTTTTGGCGGCAGGCGGGGAAGAAAGTGACAGAGGGGGGAGGGGGGGAGAGCGTGGAGGAATCGATCGATATGAACAGATAATCACCAGGCCTCTGTCCCAATGTGTAAGGAGTGTGACATTGCAGAGGTGGGCACGGCAGGGAAGAGATCAATGGGCTGCTTTTTGTTGATCCGTAATCCTTAACTATCTATAAGTAATTAACCTTCAGAGGAGAATGCAGGGAAGAAATAAATGGAGAAATAAGAGGAGGAATACCAATGAGCTCCAGTAAAAACAGAAGCTACTTTGCATTGACCAGATAACAGCACAGGAAACCAAATTAACGGGGGTCTCTCCACTGCTGCCTCTGCAATTTGCTTCATCTGATTTGTTTTTTTTATTTGTCAGGGAGATTTCGCTGTAAATGACTCCCGGTCTCCCCCGTGGTCTCAACATGAAAAAATAAATATGGCGTAACTGCGGATGGAAGAAGAATTCTCATCTCACGTGACAAAGCAAATGTTCAAAAAAATTCCTGCTGTTTTGTTCTGGTTTTATCTCCTGACCGGGCCGAGTGCGTCCTCTCCCAAAGTGGCTGCTGGGAGGACGAATCTTAGGAGTCGGAGTGCCCTCTGTGGGTGTTAGAGGAAAAACAAGGGGAGAGGTGCACCTTGCCTTTTAAACAGCAAACCTGCCTCATACCAAATATATATATATATATATTAATTTTTTATATTCTACTTTTGCTCCTTTCCATTTCGAACCACGAGCTCTGCCAAATAAACAACCTCTCCTGTCGGATGAACACAGCACAGTCACAGCAGTATCTGTACAGGGTTTATTGGCACACAAATGCCCATACAGTTTATTATGATTATCTCAAATCAAAAAGTGTTTGTTGTGTCTTCCACTGAAGAATGTTCCAGTTAGTAAAAGGCATACCATGTTCTTGAAACGTGTCACATTAATTCATAATGATACAACGGACTGGTGGGGTTTCTAAGTGGCGTACAGGGTGCGCAGTAAGAAAACGTCATAACTTATTATTACAATATGGCCGCTGTCGAAAGCTTGTAGCAAGTGATTATGGTGTTAAAAGCGATGGAAAGAGTCATTTGAAGTGTGATCATCAGATTAAAAACACAGCTCTTAAGGTTCTTTCTCATTAACTTAAAACATTTCACTGGAAAAATCGTACAATTCTACAACAGCAAAATAAAAAGAACAAAAAAAAAAAAAAAAAAAGTTGAGTGCTTCTTCTTGGTTAACCTTGGCTGCTGAAGATAGCTCCTCACCAAAATGGACACCTGAAGATAAAAAAATAAAAAATAAAAGTAGATTACTCGTCAAAGCTGTTTCACATCAATATGACTCAAGTCAGATTAAACAGTTTATAAGTGGATTCCTGCTGCATTATACTACTGAGCTAACTACATTCTGAAGTGTGAAGGAGTACCGACCATCCGATGTAGCACTGGCACAGGTTTTCGTGTGATGTGGCTTGCTTGATGAGGAGGTCTACTTGTACCGGCACATCCAGTGTCTCATCGTGAGAGAAGTCTCGACCTGAAGGGGGGGACGACAAACTCTCGTCACAAACGCAAGTACGACCCGAGTTCCTTCAGGTTTGAATCGGGTGTTTGAGGACTGGTAATAATACTTTTTCTTTCCTTGTAAAGAATTTCAGCTCTGTTTACACGGTTTTAATTTGACTTGAGGACAATGCTAAAATAAAATACTTGTTATTTCCTGCAGGAACTTCATTGGAAAAATAAAAATAACTGTATATAAGCTGCTATTTGTGTCAAGTCTTTTTTTTTTTTTTTTTTTTTTACATGTGGTTTGTGCTGCAAAACTCACCTGTGAGTTTGTCTCTCACTCGGTTGATAATCTGAATGGCTTTCTTGTTGAGTGCTTCAGGTTGCACCAAGCCGTCTCCAACTGACAAAAACAAATATGCCGACATCAATAACGACTAACAACTTACACAAAAGAAAGTTGGAGTGCTCTCTCTCTCTCTCTCTCCATTAAGACTGGAGGAAATCAAAGTGGACTTGAGTGCTGCCGTACAACAGCACAGCAGCTGCTCCAATCATTCACGACGGCAAGAGAGCTCGGTATTGTTGTGGTGAAGCAACCAGAGGAAAACCTAAAGGGCTGGACAACAACAAATAACCCACGCAAAGACAGACTGAACGGGTAACTCACTGAAGGAGTGAATGGATTCAGGCACTGTGGTCCCTGGTTTCTTGTGTGTGCTCTCTCCAAGATCTATGCCCTCGAGAGCCTCTGCAGAGGACAGCACACAGTCACAGGGTTAAACACTTTCTTACATTAAAACGTGCAGAAAAACAGGAAGCAGTTCAGGGCCACGCTTCACAGACTCACCCACTGACTGTCCAGCAGTGTACGAGTCGGTCCTGGTGCGGGAACGCTTGTTGCCTTTGGTGTTTGCTGGGGCGAAAACAGGGAAGGTGTGAGTTGTTGTTTTTTGTTTTGTTTTGTTTTGTTTAAATCCTTGAAAACACAGATTCTTGTATAATTATTCAAAGAACATTTTAATGATCAAAAAAAAAAACACCTGCTAACTCGTCCTAAATAAAAAACAGAAAATAACAACCTTCATTCATAATGAAACCGATCTATTTCACTGTTGTGGATTAAATGTCTCCCTCAAGGCGACCATGAAAGTGTTTGTTGAGAGAGAGAGAGACTTCATTCACTTTGCTCACTTTAAATTTAACTAACGACCTTTAGATGTTTGCACCACTTCTTTAACCATTAGATCAGTTTCTCTCCCGAATACGAGCAAAAACAGATTTCCATTTTACCACTGGGACAAGATTTTAGTTTTCCAGCCTGATGTGATTAAATTTCATGCCCAACGCTCTTCACCAACTCAACTGCGCTAACCTTGACGAAGCCATGACTAATTTACAAACCTTGACTTATTCTACTGGACTGAACTCATTCACATTCGGTTCCCTGTAATTGTCACTCGTGCTGTCGTGCTTATTTTGGAGTCTGCGGCGTGTAATTTGCCTGTTTAACGTTTCCCTTCTCCCTTACTGTCCATGAGCCTCCAGTTGAGCAGCGGGTCGTAGACGAAGGCCTCCAGCACGGCCATGACGCTGTCCCGGTGCTCCCTCAGCACCTCCATCACCGTGTGGCAGGTGATGCGGTAGTTACCGTCTAAGCCCGTCACCTGGCGAACAGTCGGAGCAAAAACACTCACTGATGGAAACAAAGCTTTCGCAGCATCACAGGACGAGAATTTAGATATAGTTTCTGGAGGAATCAATCAATCTGGTCGGTGAGGGCAGAATCCAATCCAGTATTTAGAGGTTTGGTTGAGGAGCTCCTGCATAAAATATCGAGTTTTATTTCTTAATGCTTTCATGTTTAATTCCTTTTTCTTCTTAGCTCATTAAATAAACGCCAAAGTGAGTCCAAAGTTCTGATAAAGCACTGCACACTTGGGGAAGATTAATTATTATTTTTGACTGATATAAAGAGGAAAAAGGGAGAAGCAGCTTAGACAGAGTTCACTTTAAGTCCAGTAGAGAAGTTTTTCGTAGCGTCAGTTTGGAGGACTTTAGAAACACTTGGATAAAAAAAAATGAGAGATTATTAAAAAGATTTTCCTGCTACATAGATTTAGACACGCAGTAATACAGACTTTATTTAGCGTTTCTCATAAGGGCATGAGACCGTGCAGAGTTGCCTACCTCCATGGCGTTGGTCAACATCCTCGTCAGTCGGAACGGGATCTTCTCAGGGAACTTCTCTCTGGTCATGGCCACCTGTTGAGGGTCATAATGAAACTTAAGTCTCAGGTGAACGATACAAGAATAATCTGCGGATAATGTGTCGAAAGAAAATCTCCTCTCACCTCAAAACAGTCTCCAAAGTCAATGTGGAGGATCTTGCCGCTTAACCGGTCTAACATCAGGTTGGACGGATGCCTGATCAAACGGAAACAACCTCTTTATTAATGTCTCATGTTAATCGTCATTATTCCAACAAATCTGTTTTGAAATAATGCGTCAAACTTTTGGCCGAGAAGCTCACCTGTCACCCAGTCCCAGGATGTAGCCCACCATTGACATCACAGCCAGGGAGCGGGTGTAATTGGTCCTCCTGTCGAACCACACCTGGAGAAGGAATAACATCTGGATTACGGGGGAGTGGGGGAGGAGTTCTTCTGGTTTTCCCGACATTAGAGCAGAGCAGTGTGGAAAACGGCACAAGAGAAAAAATCTCTGGCAGGCTGCTTGACACATCTTTCCAGACACCTGAACATGCAGAACATCAGGAACACGAGGTACTAATGTTCCTAAAAATGGATTCAATTTGAAGGTCTGTTTGTGAAGTCCTGCAAAGTCAGTGGTTTGAAAGTAGGACACAGACACAGAAACCTGCTTCTTCAGGGATTACAATAGTTTTATTTCACTACCACTTTATTTCTCTCGGTATTTAGAAATGTGAGAGACTGGACTGAGACTCTCTCCCTCTCTCTCTGCTAGGTTTCATACCCTTTCCAAAATGGCTGCCAAAGCATGAGTGAGCCGGCCTCTTGAAAAATGTTCAGTTACAGATCTGTACGTTATCTTCTGTATAACTGAGCACTCTTGACATTTTCCCCCAGAGCCACTGAAAAATGAGGGCGGACGCTGAGGAGATCAAGTGCGCTCGATCATCCTCCCCTGTGCCGGCAGAGTGAAGAGGCAGAGCGTCTCACCTCGGAGGAGGGGCTCTTGAGCCACAAAAGCTTGGCCAGGTCGTCTCCGGCCGTGTTGTTGACGGCGTGCTCGAACACCTCGACCTTCTCCATCAGTGTCAGGTGGTCGTAGTCCGGGGCCATCTGAAACACACGGGCAAATTCAAAGCCTCTTTAAACTCGTTCAAACTCAGTCAACGGAGAACGAACGAACGAATTCTGAATTTCATTTACGGTGCGCAGCATTTAGACCGGTGGAACGCCACGTGATATTACTGACAAAACTCACAGTTGAAGACTCCACCATGGTGACTGATGGTGTGAGAATGTCATCACTTAACTTCACAGCAGCGTCTGATGTAATTTCAGTTACCAGGAGCGCTGCTGTGTAACACACACCCAGAGGCAAACATCATTGTTCACCCACGTCTGTTTATTTTGTTGGCTGCTGAATTCCTGCTGCATTTTCCCTCTGATTAACTATATATCACAGCTACCGCATGACGTGCTTTGAAGGTTAATATATTATTTAACGAATACCGGATCAATTGATGTTGATGGGCTATTTATACTGTATGTTTACCGTCTGTGTTTCAGTGAATAAACTGCGAAATCGAGCAGGAAATATATTTGTCCAAAAACATTCCACGTTAATGTAACAACCACCTGAAGATTGTGTTAATACTGAAATATAAGCACGTCTCAGGTTAAGGAAAATTAGGAAGTGGGTGTAAACAGTTCCCATTGGAGTGAAGCTGTTAGCTGTTTTGAATGAAAACGCTTTAGTTGCTGAGTTTGAATGTTAACGACCGTGTTTGCCCTGCAGCTGTGTATTTGACAGCATTTACCTTTAATTATTATTATTTAAGTATCTATCTATCTATGTAATTAACGGTGAAGTTTTGGATTCAGAAAGAAATACCTTCACACACTCTTAAAGACCTCGATCTGTCACTGTCTCACTCTCCCGTCTCCCTCATCCTTTATCTGAAACTGATTAACAGCCTGAATGACTGACTGACTGAATGGTCAACTTAATATCTTGCCATTTCGGAGGCTTAAACTGAGCGTAACACATCGTTAATAACTCAAACATCGTTAACGTTTTCATTCATAAACAGAAGAACATTTGTACACAGGGAAATTATAAGTGTTTTCAAGTGCCGGCTGACGCCTGTTCATTCATCCTGTGATTAAAGGACAACTGACAGACGGCTTTGTGAGTCTTCACAGTCTGACAATCTTGTTCTTTTTCATCCTGTTGACCAGGTCCTACTTTGGACCAATCAGACTCTGCCCTGCTCCTGTGGCCCTGATGTTTCTTTGGTCGGCCGGGTCTTTATCTGCTCTACGGGCACTTTCACTTTCTGTGGCGACGTTTCAGGGAGGAAGAATATTTATGTACCATGTGCGTTCTTCCTTTGCCAAATTGGGCATTTCTGAGGCAGGAAGATGTAGTTAATTTGTGCCAATTAGAGACCAGTGAATGTGTTTTCATTAAAGACTGATTGGTATTCATCAATATAATCACTGAAAACAGATGCTTCCTCAGCTTTGACGACTCTATTCGTTGTTTAGTATCGACGTTTTTTAAATGAAAATTACAAATATTTCACGAATGAGACCGACTGTTGGCACTAAACAGTAAATGACATGTGAGCACATACGCTCATTTACTCATACGTCCGTATTGAATGAGATATCACGATTAAAATCGATCCTGGGAATGTGACTGTTCCTAACGTCCTAAATGAAACAATCTGATTGAAACACAGAAAACTCTCGAACAACGTAAACAAACAGGAAAAACACACTCGGATTGATTCCAGTTATGAAAATAAAGGAGGTGGAAACCGTCTGGATCTCAGCGGCTCCTCACCCTCAGCATGATGCGATGTTCGATGTTGAGCAAAATCTTTTTCTTCTCTCTGTAGTCTCTGATGAGGGCATGCAGGGTGTCACAGTGGGGTACCCAGCCAATCAGGCCCGAGTTAGTGGACAGGGGGATCACCGCATAGCGCTGAATGCTGTTGAATACAACACACAGCCAAGACACACACACACACACAATTCATTAACAAGGTTTCAATAATCTAGTTATTCAGCTTCATGTCCACAGCTGTGAGTATGTGAGTGTCTCTGCGGAAGACGTGTGAAATGTACTGTGCCTCAGAGTCTGTGTGTGTGTGTGTGTGTGTGTGATGTTTATATCCCAGTGGGGACTTTAACTTGAATGCACACCAACCCATGGGGACTCATGTTACCATGGGGACAAGAACGGAGGTCCCCATGGAAAGAGACTGTTCTTCTTAGGATTAAGACTTAGACTGAGGTTTTAGGGTCAGGGTTAGGGGGTAGGCGTATATTTGTGATGGGTAAGGGTGAACGGCGAGGGAATGCATTATGTCTCTGAGTGTCCCCACGGGGAGAGTGGAACAAATCCGTGTGTGTGTGTGTGTGTGTGTGTGTGTGTGTGTGTGTGTGTGAACATGACTGTGGGTCTACCTGAGGTTCTTGCGCAAGGACGCGGGGTCGTTGGCCAGCAGAGTGTTGACTAAACCGAACAGCTGCATGACTCTCTCGTCCTGCCTCAGGTCCTCGTGGCCCTTCAGCAGGAACATGAACTCGTGGCCATTGCTGCCTGCAGAGGGCGCCACAAACACAGCATTGATACACTACACACAAGGCATCATGAAAGAATCATTATAAGGTTGGATTTGGAAGCACGGGGGCCATTTTTCTCTGCTCTGCAGCATCACCTTCCCATGAAGCAACGTCTGCTGGGTTTAAACAGACAATAAAGGATTTCATGTGAACCGCATCATTCCTCAGGTCCTTGCTCCTTTAATCCCTCTCTTCTCTTCACGCTTTGACTCGGAGTGGTTCTCAAAAATGACAGACAGACTTGTGATTTGTGAAGGAACGAAGTCGAAGCGCTTTGTGAAGTTCATGTCGAGCTCCATCTGACGATTGCGACGTCGAAGTCATTTTCTCGATCGACTAACATGAATCGGAGCGGACTGGAAAATATGTGTCTACGTACTTGATGAACTGTGACATCATCTCAATCCTTTTATTTCAGCAGAATCAAGTTTTCGGCACGACGGAGAGGAAAATGTAATGTAACACTGTAATTGTCATGATACCTTTAAAGGAGTGAACTCATACTTCCAGTGGAACGGGTAAAGCGAGGTCCCTGTTCTCTCCCCGGCCTGCTCCTAATGACAATCCCAGTAAGCTATGTGTCGAGTGTCGCTGGGGGGACAGAGCGCCGACAGTAAATCCAAGTGGCCCGTAGCGGGGTGACAGGTCTTAATCTCGAGTCTTGCTCTGGAGGTTAGTTGATTTATCAGCTATCATCTTTTACAGAGTATGTTGTGTAACACTTATGGGATACATCATCAGGACGAGGTATCGCACCGTCCAGTGGAAAAAAAGTGCGAGGTAGGGTGAACCACTTGTGATTGATAATCCGAGGAACCTGGCTTCAAGACAAGGGGACTTTATGGTGCTGAGCCAATTCTGAAGCGCTTCGCGATCGTATTTCATATCGCACAGCGTGAAGATGAGGTGTCAGGATTATTTATTTCTGTATTCAAATTAATGTCGATGAACAATGTTGGGAGGCAAATCGATCTGCGCCTGCACGACTTCTCCTGGGACAGAACATGAAAAAAAAAAAAAAGAAGAAGAAGACTTCTTTGGCACAAAGCTGTTGGTTAGGTTTCAGTTTGGTATTAAATTCATCACTGGTCTGATCTTTCTTCTGTTTGGTAAAGACGATTCTCACTCTCTGTATTATCCGCACACAGAACTTTGCCATGGCCGATGAATTCAAAATAAACCGTGGCCTCGGAGCTGTTTGTTATTTGGTAAAGATTTTATTAATATTGAATTTTCCCTAACGTGATGGCCCACGCCTGCTGAAAGCGTATGACTAGGAATATTTGTTAATCTATTTTCCTAATATAATGGGTTTCGAAGCCAAGGCCTGTGCAATTTTCTCCTAATCTTACCCATGATGGTGAGTTTGCGTGGGCGCTGCTTGGAGGTGATGACCTGCAGGGAGGGGGCGATGGACTGGATGCGGATGATAGGCTGGTTGGGGTCATAAGTGCCCGGTACAGCCAGCTCCAGGTCCCGGCACATCAGCAGCTTTGGAGACACATATTGTAGCTCCAGGGAGGTCAGCTGCGTGAAAAAGTTGATGAGGTGGGGATGTAGCACAGGAAGAGACAATTAGTTTTTAGTCTACTGCGTTAAAAAAAAAAAAAAAACTCCAGTGACTAAACAGCTCCTGCCAACAGTGCCTACAGCAATATGCAGAGTGTAACAGACACTGGCTCATGTGCAAGTTCAGGTCTTATCTGGAAAGAATTGTAAATACACAACCTTTAATAAATCTCACTGGAAACATTTCACTTTCCGCGTGTGCATCAATAAATGCCTCCTCTGCTTGTCTGCAATTAACGATCAGTGATTCGACCTGTGTAAAATCGGACTCTGGTAGACTATTTAAAGGTTTTATGGTGAAATTATAAAAGCTTCAGCCCTTCTCTGGATCTGCATCCTGGAGAGGGTTTTATTTCTATGTTAATGCCCCGTGGGGGGAATATCTGCACTGCTCCCAGCACCTTATTATGATGCTGTGTATTTCATGCTGCTTACTGTAATGTCGCAGCAGGGAGGATCCCCGAGAGCAGGACTGTGCCACACAATGTCAAACAGTATTGCCGTCTCCATTCGCTCTGTGAAGTGAGTGCACCTGACACAAACTGTTTTCACTGTCGTTCTGCAACAACGACGGTGACGGCTGTGAGAAATGACATCTATCAGTCCCATTTCATCTTGGCTCCAGAAGCTACGAAAAAACCTGGTGTTGGTAATGTTTAAGCCACCTTAAGTCAAACTGACTTTGGGTACAGCTCACGTGTATCTGCATCGTTTACCTCAGACAGGTTCGTCATAACTGGAGTAGCTTATCCAGCTTCAGGGACATGGTGTTTTACACAGTGGCAATATTTAAGGTCTCATGTTGTAGAAAGATTATAAAGCAGGTTCTATATTAATACGGTGAAAGAATCAAAGTGTGCAATCCACAAACAATAGACACACATCTCGTATTAGGAAAAAAAAACTGTCTCTTAAAACATGCCGTCAGGACTTCTGTCACTTTGTGATGTCACAACAAAACAGTCAACACCCTCAGCTATGCCTATGCTGGAGCTCCAGGGAGAAGCCTGAAAGAGGAGATAGTTTTTGGTTCTTAAAACCACAAATATATCTTCTTATGGATCAAAACTTAAAATAAAACATAGAAAAATGTAAAGTATGGGACCTTTAATGTGCATGGCTTGATGTAAAAAGGGAGGCCAGTTATCAAAGGATTTAGCTACTGAATATACTGAATTTTTTTAGCAGAGGAAAAAGTTGTTTCAGGATTAAGAAAACTGCCCATCTGTGTTTTGTCTGTTTGGATTTTGGGAGGTGTTGCAGAATAAAAAAAAAAGGGAAAAAAAAAGCAATTTTCGAGCACAATAGCTAGTTGTGTGAAAGGCTAAAAGATAATTGTACAACTTGTGCAAGCTAATACCCAGGCTTAAATAAAAGCCATTACCAGAGACAAAATCAGCTGCAACTTGTAGAATCCATGTGACAAAATATCCCCGTGTTCCTGGATTTGGCCCGATATTATTTAAGGTATCCTTCACAAATGTGATATTAAAAGGGGAAATGTTTTCCCATGATGTTCTGTGCCATTCCTCTTTAACTCACATCATCCCTGCCTCATCACATCCTACCATCTTTCAACACTACTTCTGGCGTCTTGTCTCGCCCAGACGGCGATGAATGAAACAAGCGCGCCCTGTTTCTGTATCATTATCTTCCAATCACCGCTGAACGCCCCGCTTCTTCTTTATACAATTTTACATGTCTAAAGAGACAGTACTTCAGATTTACCTTGTCATGAGATCAAAGAAATAGTCAAGACATGAAAGGCCAAATATATCTCAGCACATCTGATGAGAGATTGGACTGGACATGGGCATGCAGGACTGGTGGGATGTCAGCTCCAATTTCCCCATGAAACATAAAAGACGTGCTGATTCTTTTCAACCACATTTCTCTGATTTACATGAGTTTTTGTGGTTGAAGTTCACTGGTACAGTTTGACATCTTCTTTTGTTCTTTTTGGAGAACAAATAATACTTTCCTATACTTACAAAAATAGATACAGATGTCAGTAAAATATTAGTACCTGAAATAGATTGTTGTGGTTATTACAAGGTGGTAATTTCAGTGCAGCGACGTAGTTTCACTCACCTGTGGCAGCTGTTTGGAGATGCGTCTGAACACGTGGTAGTAGAGGTCCCAGGCCTGGGTCAGGTCTTTAACGTTTCCAGAGCGCATGTACTTCCTGCACCAGTCCTGAGCCTCCATCAAGTCCCTGCCATAAGCCTGCAGCACAAAGTAAGACAAACACACTCAGTCCCAGCACAATGACTCATTCAAAGAAATGAACATGGTTTGCCAAAGCAGGACTATAATACTGAATGTCAAGCGATTAAATATCAGTGTTCTGATGTGATTAATCTAGGATTTCAGTTAAGGTATTTTGTTTTTCGATGGTGCACATCTGCAAAGGCAGCCTGAATGGAAACATCTGATACTGCAGAGAGCTACGGTCACTGGTAAGACCCGTGGCTATAGAGGAAATAGAATTTTAATCACTGTGTACTAATAAAGCTTTTTTTCAACGCTTCAACAGGAAAGTAAAAGCAAATGATCTAATTTAGACACAAATATAAAGCAAATTGTACTTTTTTGTCGTTACCTCTCAGGAGCTAAATTAAGGAACTGATTTAGAGTTTCCACTGAATGTCGACAACAACAAAAAAAAACATGTTACAAAGCCAAAATTTACAAGCCACAACCTTTTATCTACGTCAGACAGGAGATGAACAGAGCCTATAGTTTGTGGAGGTGCACTAAGCTATAAATTCAACCCCAACCTGAGATGACACGCACCTGGTTAAAAGAGGTCTCTTTGAGGGTCTGTGGTCCCCTCTCCATCATGGCGTGCAGAGGCTCCAGCACAGCAAACATGCCCTTGACATTGCGCTCACCGAAGTAAAGACGTGAAGCCTCTTCAAGGCCCTCGTGCCACATCTCATGCCATAAGATGGCCACTCGGATAAGCTCCTCACTCACCTGGATGAAGAGAAAACAAACACGAAAAGGTCAGACTGTTCTTTCCCGTCAAAGCTCACAGGTATAAAATATCATCTGGCATTTTAGATCCCTTCAAATTTGTCTAACCACTACACTATGCAGAAGTAAATCACATCAGTGGAACCTCAGCGTAACCTACGAAGCACAAATACCTGCTCTGCAGTAGAGATTTTTGCATGTGCAGTACACAGCAGCGGCAGAGGAAGTTCAGATTTTCTGGTTCAAACTGCACATTTCCATTGCTGCAGTTTTCTTTTATTATGAGATCAACGACTAAACAATGAACTGAATGTGAGACAGAAAAATAAAGAGACAGAGAAGAGGGACTCTGGCTCAAGCAGAAGCTCCCATTTTATGCACAAGAAAAAGTTTCTAAGTTGAGGATGTTAAGATGATTTTAATTCAGTTATGGTAAATATAAACGATTCAGTCTCTGTACCATCATGGCCTGCTGAACCAAAGTGTTGCAGTGTTCACACATGTTCTTCAGGATCTTGTTAGCGGCATTGTGGCGCGCTGTGGTGGTGGACTTGGAGGCCACAGTCAGAGGGTAGATCAAAGCCTGGAGAGAAGAAGAACCCAGCAATTCATCACCGTTCACTGATGGTTCTACTCAGTTATGACAAAAAATGTTCTGGGTCTTGGTTCTGTTTTATATTGTGAAACAACAATAGCACTCGTGTGAGCAGAATTACCTGGGGATGATATCGTCCGATGTCTGTCAGCAGCTGGTGGATGAGGCGCCCCACCAGGGCTCGGGGGGTGTCGATTCGGGCGATGAGCTGAGGGATAACCTGGACAAGCAGAGAGAAGGCGGAATAAAAACTCAGTAATATGGTTTTACATGTGAAATATAAAATATAGCAGGATATAAATGAGTGTTCAAATCAGCAGGAACTGACAATATAGTGTTGTTACATTTTTTTTTTTATTTATGGTGAGCATTAATGAGACATCAGCATTACCCTTTACCTCATCAAATGTTCTAGTTTCTATGGGGAAAAAATCATTACACTTCTTTATCTCTAAGCTAACTCCACCTCAGATGTGTGTGTGTGTGTGTGTGTGTGTGTGTGTGTGTGTGTGTGTGTGTGTGTGTGTGTGTGTGTGCATGTATTACCTGGAGCCAGGTGTCGATTTGAATGGTCTTGATGCCTTCCACCAGGGCTTCATTCACTTCAGGCCAATGACCATAGTCAAACCAAAGAGTCAGAACCCTGAGCAGAGAACAAACAGACAAAGACTTAAATCGTAATCTTTTCTTACCTGCTTATTAAGGACAATGAAATGAAGTGCAATCACAGTCACCCACTAGAGGTCCTCCTACCCCCACACACCACATCTGCCGAGTGCCCCTGAACATGGGTGCTGCTCGTTTGCTGGGATCACTCGTCCAGCTTGCGTTACAGTCATTTAACTGACCTGAGTGTGTCCTGCAGGTTATTTCCTCTGGACAGGGAAATGGAGCGGAAGAAACCCTGAACAGCAGGAACTGTGTACAAGAGCAACGTCTTGGAGAGGTCCTGTGGAGAGACACAACAGACAGAGTTTTCATGCATGACAAAACGAGAAAAGCCCTATTAGAGAGGACGCTCAGAATTTATAATTTTACTATTACTGAGGAGAAAAAAGATTAAGCACAACTGAAATGAAAGTATTATAAGATATGTGTACGAGAAGCAGAGACTTGATGCTTTTATGAGAAGTATGTGCATAATGGGATCTGTAGCTGTTCAATAGAGTTAATGTGTTGAAAAAATGTGATTGTACAAGGTATTTAGCTATGAGTGGGCTGAAACACTGCATGGTCGACGCAGACAGTGTAGTTATGACGTGCAGGTATCCTAACTAAACATTTCTGCCTTGGTTGGACTGGGAGCGCTGGGAGAGAAGAGAGCACTGAATGACTGATGTGGATGGATGTGAAGAGAGTTTAATTCTCTGTGGCTCTCACCTCATTGACCTTTTTCTGCCCCGGCGAGGGCACGGGACTGTGGTCAGTGCTGTCGACCTCGCTGTCGCTGTTGCTGGCTTCGCTATTGGCGCTGGCACCGCTGGCGTGCCTCAGCTTCTTCTTCTCGTCGCGTCCTTGGTTCTGGTGTTTGTAGTGCAGCACCGCCTCGAAATTCATCACCGCCCAGGCATGCCAGGCCTGCCGAGAGAGGGCACAGACTGGGTGAAACTGGATTTCTAAGAGGTGGTAACGGGAAATGACTTCCACGTTCCACGTTGTTCATGATGTAATTTTTCCAGTTTGCTGAGGGACAGATATCTCCCCAGGGGCTGTAATTTTTCTGATCCAAACATATGAGTTTGATGTTTGCTGTGTTATGCAACCAGCTATTTAAGGGGTGTGTGTGTGGGTCTAGTGGCATCCTTGAAGCCTGCAGCACAGGCATGGGCAAGAAAAAAGCAGAGATGCTCTCAGCATCTCATCTCTCATCTCTCATCTCTTCCATCACCTTATATCTCTGATGCATCAGAAGAACCACAACAAGTATAACAATCTATTAAGAAAAACACATGAGCTGTGCACAGTCAAAAAAACGAAAACTAAACAAACAACCATTTTATGGCACGTTTGCTTTAATGGCAATAAAACGGGGTCTAAAGTTTTCCAGGTGACACGCCGGTGTCAGGGCAAGCTCCGGCTGACACAGCTGGGATTTTACTGCGGCCAGAGAGAAGTCAGAAGTGAAAGGTTAGGGCTGAGAGGGATGAACTGACCTTGTACCAGTTGCGGTCATGCTCAGTGGAATGGCTGTAATACTGCAAGACCTTGGGGATGGTGCTCTCGTTGATCCCCTGCAGACTGAGCTGCCACTCACCCAGCTTCAGGAAACATCTACATGGAGCAAAGGGAGAAACAGAAAGACAAAGGACGGCATGAAATTAAGTTTTTTACTTAAATAACAGCTTTTTTTCCAGTCAAGATATCATTTCTCCATTTCTAATTTAGTTACAGAAAAAAACAGGTGTAGCATAGATTATTAGCCTCATTTAAAGCAACATTATCCAACAATTTTACCTTAAAATAACAGCTTCAAAATCATTTTGATGGTACACTGATTTGTAATAGGGAACCGGTGCCTCTCTCATTCCTAACTGTCTGTTCTTGCACTATGTAACTCAGGTTGAACGGGTACGATCTACAGCGGGCGCTACGTCACAACCCACCGACTATGGCTCCTCAGCTAGCCATAAGAAGAAGCTAGCTCAGTATTGAAGGTGAAGAGACTAGCTCCTAGAATCTACATTTTTAGCTGCTGTGGGTTCAGATGTTTTCAGCCAATCAGATTAGCCACATGCTAACTTGACACGAGTCGACAGTGTGGTTTGTGGTGAGATGTAGATTTTCTGTTTGTTGTCTGAGGGATTGATATGCTTTGTTTTCTGTACATGAGCTGTTAGCTTCTCAGGCTACGCCACTTCCAGTACCTTTAAACACTCAGACTCAGAGCCCAACAGAATTTAATGCTCCAGCGTCCTGTAATTACCACTTGTGGCTGCAGAGGCCGCTGCAGCCACAAGTGGTAGTTACAGGACGCTTTTGGAGTGCTTGCTTTTACTTTCACACTGGAAACATTAAAAAATTAAAATAAAATAATAACTTTGTGGCATTAAACAGAAAAAAAAACTAAACTTTTTCAACACCATAAAAGTTAGTGAGGTCAGATGTCAATGCTGTTATAGAAGCTCTGCAGTGACAGCTAATCCAATAAATACATGACTACATTAGAAACAAATGCACTTCTGGGACAAGCCACAAAGACACATCATGAGTTTACGATCCCGCTTATGTTGTCATTGCTTATAAAGACTCGATAGTGACATTAAGCACATCCGAGAGTGGTTCATTAAAATGGAGTGAGATAATGCTACTAGACTTGAAAAATCAGTTCAGCATTCGTCCCAAGTATCACGACTGAAGGCAGCAGAGCATTCGGCTGTTGAAAGGTTCTGGGATCAAATCCGGAGATTTTCAATTATCTGAAACAATTTCAACCCGACAGTGAGCTCTGTGGCATCCCAGAGGGGGGGGGAACTGAGCTCTATCCATCACCCTCAGGAACACAGATGCTTCGAGGCAAGCACTCTAACTAGTTGCGTTTGGCAGGTCCAAGACGTATAATTCACATACAACTGCAGAGAAACTGGCAAAGCGCTGTACTGTCGACCCATCCATCAGCTGAATATTGTTTGCAGAGCACCTCCAACAAATTGTCTTTCAGGATTATGTAATTTCCGCTGAGCGCTTTTCCATGCGAGTGCACACTTTGGGTTTCTGCACGTCCAAGCCAAACTGTTTCCGTGAGCGGTTAACAGGTCGAGCTTTTGGGGAAGAGGTGGGAGGAGGATGGGGTTTTTGCGGACACTGGAACAACCTGTTTATTTAGACAGGCGCAGCAGGCTCACCGATTTTAAGTAAAGTAACAGTGAAATTACAGTGGAATTCTTTGGAGAGAGTGGAGGCGTCCATGTGATTGCATGTGCCTGACTGAGCAGACCAGGTGTGCTCCATACCACACAGCCAACCTGCATTCACCAAAGTGTGTCTGGAGAGAACCCGTCCTGACTGACATTATACAGGTGTTTTTCCCGCAACATGCATTCTTCAGACGGCTGGAGTCGCTGTCGGGAAGATGCACAAATGAAAAAAAAAAAAAGCCCCTTCTGCCCGTTGTCACGCTCGTGTGTTGTCATACATGATTTATGAGATGGGAGGGTGCACATGACTGGTGTATGTTTGTGCACAAATCCAGATTAGACAACGGTGTGATTTACTGCACATAGGATTATACCTGTCTGCTCCTATGTGAGACAATGCAGTGCAGTCAAATTCTCAGTCAAAGTAAAGTCAGTTATTCCCTCTCCTGCCCTGGCAAGCTGCTGACCTTCAGTCCTAAAGGAGAGAGCTTCAGATATTACCCTTTAAATGTGTTGATGAGCTCACAAGAGCCTGCAAACTACTTTTTAAGTAATTTCAAGCTAAATACAAAACTTTCCGTTTTCTAATTTTCTAAATCGGCGTCTGAAAACACATGATAATTATTATATATTTTAAGTTTTGTGCTGACAACAGTTTGAACAGACTCCACACTGCATCTGTTCCCGTAGTGAGGTGAGGTAATGATAGTATGAAGGTGCCAAGTCTGCACCAGGACAATCAGAAGACGATCACAACACCCACTGGGAGAGGAGACGCACCCGGTGATGTCCCGTAGGCATGGTGCCATGTTTGGTTTGTGACACAGTGCATTCAGAAAGTATTCAGTTACACAAAACTTGTGTCAATGTGATATTTCAATTTTTCATTTGAATAAATTTGCAGAAATGTCTCAAATTTTGTTTTGGCTTTGTCATTGCGGGGGATTGAGTGTAGACTGATGAGGGGGAAAAGAATAAATGATTTTAGCATGAGGCTGCAACATAACAAAATAACAAAAAAAGTGAAGGTGTCTAAATACCTTCTGAATGCCCTGTAAGTAGCTGCGTGGTGCGAAATGCCAAAAGGGATCATTTTATTGAGAAGACTTGAGGTGAGAAATTCAGACAATCCGGCCAGCTTTGAAAAAGACCGGAGGATGCCAATCGACTAGTAAAAGCTGCTCATGGAAAAGAAGCAGAATGCACTGCACTTGACCCCGTGTGTTGACAACAGGATGGCAAAATACATGAGGTTACTTTTTCCTTGACTCAGCATGTTGCTTTGGGTTTTCTCCATTGTGCTAAAGAGGGTGTTAAAAAAGCACATAATGACACATTGGCATTACTTTTGGTGAGTTTGACTAACTGCGGAGTAACTTTCCCTCTCAACAGTTTCAGCTCGTTACAGCTGATAATTGTGCATGAAGGCAGTGGCTCTCAAACTTGTGACGCAAAGTTTGATCAGAATTTTGTTTTTAGATGTTTTTTTTTGGATGGAATTACCGTGAAAATTAATTATTCATCGTTTTGCTCAGGCCCCCGGGAACCCCGCTCAAGGACACCTGCGGTTAAATGTTTATTTTGAACTAATTAAAGTGAAAATATCTTCTGGAATTATATTTGGATTTTGGGCCTTCGCTCAATAAAACTGAAAAGGTCTGGAAGAGTGTGTAGATATTTGAAATTCTCCATAATCCATTCGATAATGTGACGAATCACAGTAGAAGCACAGGTGTTTGGTAATAACCCCAACGCTGGCTCCCATTCTTTTTTCATGACGGTGCGACCGTGAGCCAGCGTGAACAACATCCTGAAACTGAAGCGGCTAAATGGAGTTCAGCCATCGTTCATTTTATTTTTCACATTTGTGCTTTTCCTCTTGTCGAAATGTGTTCTGTGAAAAGGGGCTCATTAGATGGTGAACTGCTGCTGCTACTGTGCTTCCAGTAAAGAGACAGACCTGGCCATCAGTTTGTGGACCTCCTGCTTGTGCTGCTGGTCCTCGGCCGCGATGGCGTGCTGGGCCTGCTGCTGCATCCCTTGCACAAAGTGCTGCATGTGCTGAAAGGCATCGATCTGGAGAGGCATGAAACAGATACGGCTTGGTGTCAGTCAGAGAAATTGATTTGTCTGTGGCTCTTTGTACCTGAGATCACTCTGAATTCAATACAAGCATGTGATTTGTGATCGACAGTGAGCTATAGTTGGCACAATTGTTTTTTTTATAAATTTGAGATGTATTCCACAGCCTTCCTCTGACACATCATAAGTATTGTGATGAACTCATCGGTTGCCGGGATCTTACCACTTCTACGAAGTTGACGGCCCGGTCTAATGCAGGACAGCCCGACAACACTGGACATTCTTTTCTGTTCATATCAGTGTTACTGGACTCACCAATGGCTCACAGGGGAAAATCCTGCAACTCTATCTGCCCAGGCCACTTCTGCTGTCACGGTTTAAATGTTTTTCATACTTGGAACTTGTCGCATCTTTATCTAAGTAAAGTAAAGGCAGTCTGTACTACACGCAACACCACTTGCACAGATTTGTGATATTAACCACAGCTGAGAAAATGAAAAACTCACTTACGCTGAAATGACCTTGGAAAATAAGTTATTTGAATTATTTGACTGAGTCAGATCCTGTTCACTGAAGTACGACAAATCATCTAACCGGAGCAGATGACCCACTACTGTGTGGTTTTCACTCAGTAACACTCCAGTCATGGCAAGTGTGATGAGTAACAGACAGAGCTGATATTCCATACTGTTCTAAAGCCCCCGAAACAGTAGATCGGTCCTTTCCAGCTGTGTGTGTGTGTGTGTGTGTGTGTGTGTGTGTGTGTGTGTGTGTGTGTGTGTGTGTGTGTGTGTGTGTGTGTGTGTGTGTGTGTGTATTTTTATTTTCTGATTTGTCTGGTGAGTAGCACTGGCAACAGGACTGCTTATGCTCACACTTACCTAAGCCCCCTAATGAGACCTGCACTGTGGAGCCACAAACATTATTCAACACCTGGTAATAAATGTGGGTGTGTTTATGTGTGTTTGGGGGCTGTATATACTGCATGTGAAAGTTGTTGTTGTGTGCGGTGGGTGCGTGGGTTGAAGGGGGGTGGGTGGGTGGAAGGGGGGGTGGGAGGTAAAAATGGCAAACAGCAGAGCCGTTCCATCTCGAGCTGCTCTGGTGACACGTGGTGTGAAATATACAGTATACCGTCAGGTCACCGCCGCTGCTAGTTGGCAAGCGTCTCTTGTGCCGGATGCTGAATAAATACATTTCTTCTCTTCAAAGCGAGGCTTACTTCACCCACTGTTGCCATGGATACAAAAGATTAACATCAACATTAATCTAGTTGATTTTACTGACCAAGTCAGACTCAAACCTTACATAACACCGAGTTATATTAGTCAGTCTCCGCAGGCATCACAGTAATTAATGCAAATTCAACCAAACTCTGCACGACCTGTGAGTGTTCGCAATTTATGAAACACTAACTCTGTCCAAACAGACATCATCCAGGATCCAGGAAATCAAATTCAGTAAAATCTGACTTCACTCACAAGTGAGTTCAATTCCTTTTTTTTTTTTTTTAACAGATGTAGTTTGTCGGTGTTGATGTTTCTCGGGGCTGCAACATTTAATTAATTAGCTGTTTATGTCACTAATGTGCGTGCCGGTAATTGAAGCGCTTCCTTTCTAGCCTCTTTGAACCTCTTGATTGTTGCCTCATGTTGCAATAAAAACATCCACATAAAAGTGATAAGCATCAGACATATTTACAAGCTTGCATGTTGCTTTTTGCTATCTAGCCTGAACCAGTGCTTCCTGTATGATGACTAACAGAAAGCAAAAAGAAAACAAAATGTATAATGTATGTGAAATGTATTAAAAACAAACAAACAAATGTCTGAATTACAAAGCATCAACAGTCTGTTTGCTCCTACCTTGCGGGTACTCTTCCACATGTACTTCATGTAAGCGTAGGTGACGTGTGGGTGGGCTGTGGGCAGCGGGTGATCAAGTTGTTTGGAGGGGTCGACACCCAGAAGGAGCACCAGGGTCTTATGGGCCAGTGCCTGAAGGGATGAAGAGAGCAACAGAGGTGAAAGGTCAAATGAGTGGTCAGAAGGGTTTTACAGTTCAAGAAGATCCCAGGGGGCGAGGATGACAACTACCCCCCTCCCCCAAGACGATAAAGAGCTTGATTACACGTTGACCTTTATATTTCTTTAGGAATGAGTCACGAAACAGTAAGGATGTAGGATGATGGGAATAAGAACATTTTAAAAGACAGAAACAGGAAAAAAAAAGAGAGGGGCAAAAAGCCTAACCTCACCACTCCACACAAAGGTATACTCTAAGTCTTAGTGGGGTCATTTTTTCCAACCCCTTGTAATTACATTTCCTGCTGTTTGACGTTGGCCAATCACATCTCTTTTTGCAGTTACATCACTGTTGGTGATTCTGTCATCCTGTGTGCGCGCTTAAATACAACAACAATGTGCAGATAGAAAAATTGGCTTCCCTTGGAATAAATTAGAATAACAGTATATATATATATAAATATATATATATATAAAAAGGATGGAAAATTGCGCCGCTTTAATTGAGAAGATATGTGGTTTCAGGTTTCTAAACAGTGTGATTGAGAGTGCTGCGCTACTTTCATCAGCGCCAACTTAAAACAGGTTGAAAATGAAGTTTAATTTCATGGCCGGGATTCATGGTTGCACTTAACTACGTCTGAGCTCGACTTCCCTTTTCCCTTTGACGAGACTTATTTAATCAACTCTTGATTTATTCCTCCTGAATGTTATGGCATTACAATTAATTACAGTATGCATGATCAGAGTCAGACATGAGGATACTAAGGAGGCCTTGGACGGATGTCATATTATACATCATTGGTGTCTTTTTAAACAGTTTGTTATAGTGTAGTAGATTTCCAGAAGTAGTAGCAAGTTTTCTTAAATGCTATACGATAGCACTCGACACTGCCGCTAAAGCAACATCCCGTTTAAAACACGTCGGGTCTCGTTTTTGTGGCCTTTCACTGAATGCACTGACCAGACGTCCACTCTTGCCACAGAGGCTGGCGTACTTCAGCCAAGTCCTCATGTCCTCGTGGGGGCTGATGACCAGTGATCGGACCATCAGGATCCTCTGCCAGTCCTCCACAATCCGCTGACAACCCTGGAGGAGAATAGAAAATAAAAACAGCGGGTTAAACTGCGTACTCTTTTGTTAGCCGCTTCAAAGAGAAGCACCTCGTCGTTAAACTCAAGAGAAAGAGCAACACGTGAGAGACCGGTCAAGTTGAAACCCTAGGGGGTACTACTACTACCAGTGGTCCCTGTCTTCAACATGCCCGCACATGTGAGCACAGGTTCACGTGCCAGAGAAAAAAATGAAAACATACAGTTCTTTTTTTTGGTACATCTGTAAAGACCATTAGCTGACGATCTCTATCAGATATTCTCTTAACCCCAACCTCATGATCATGATATAACACAGAGCCGCTGAGGCAGGCAGCACAAACACGACACTAATCCACTCTGTATGATTTGAATTTAAGACATATATATACAGGGGGAGGGGGGGGTTGGAGAATAATGATTTCATTAGAAAGGACATTGATGTAAGTTGATTGTAATTACACTGCTGCAAGGGTTTGTCGTATTACGCTGAATGGCAACAAACAACACAACTAATTTCAACTAGCTTCAAAAAATAATTCAACCCATCTTTGTGTCTGATGTGGGGATTTCATAGTCCTTGTTCTCCCCCCTCTAACTTTTCCTTAGAAGGCAATAGTGTGTTGGGGCAAGCTGTTGAAATGCTGAGGCTGGAATTAAATACCACAGTTTCGGAAGAAGGCTTAACATGATGGGATAAGGGGATGAGCGCAGGTTGAATCTGGCAAGAGCCAAAGCTGATGATCACAACGACTAGGACAGTTTAGTCTGGGGTTTTAACAACAAGAAATTACTGACATTTTTGTGCTGAGAAGTTATAAGAAGCCAATTTATCCAGTTCATTCATCTTGAATAAAAGGAACAACAGTGTGTCATTGAGGGCATCAGGCGGTCTGAGGCACGTACCGCGTAACCTCCCTCGCTCTTTCTGCCCTCATTTGCCCTTATCGTAAACTACCAGTCAAAGGCTTTAGTGCACCCTTTCTTTTTACCCGTTTTTATTGAAATGTAAGTTGTTCAAGTCCAGTAAATAACCTTAAATGGTACAAAGAACCGAAAGGTCATGTAAATTTCAAGAAAAAAGAATTGGGTTAACTTACTGCTTTTCTGCAGAAGTTAAAGTAAAATAAAGTCCCTCCAGTGTTTATTGATTACTTACAATCAATGTCTGTACAAAAGCATTGCATGGAGAATATTGCACTACTGAACTGCAGGGAGTAGTAATGTATATTGTGTTTGTATAACAGTGTGTGTGTGTGTGTGTGTGTGTACAATGCCACAAATGTGTCGGGCTGTTGAATGAGTTTTCCTAAAAAATCTCCAATTATTTATTTGATCCATCCTTTAATTTCAGTACGGAGATATTAAACTGTGTAAATGTCACTGTGTAAAATAATGTTCAACCCCCACTGGACCCCACAAAAGATGGGGTGCAGCGTTTTCATTCAGCCTTCGCCGTACCTCCGCTACTTTCATGAGGAAGACTGTCGGAGGAACAAAGACGGGGTAAAGGACAGTGACTCCCTGACAGATGTGTGAGGTCAGTCTCCAATAAATCACTATAGGAGGAAGGAACCTGTCAGGTGTTGCAGCCCCAGCTTTGGTGCTGCCATTATGGGCCCTGTGTGTTTGCTGCGCCCCCCCCCTAACCAACCTCCATCTTTTATGAATGGAAAAAGTCAAGATGATCAAGAGTATCTTTGTTTTACTGCACAGCGATCTGGCTGTGTATATAACGCTTTCCATTCAGCGCTCAGGCAAATTTTAGAGAAACCTTTGAAATGTCACAAGGAAATTGGTTCATGCATTTTGACAGCTCGGTAAAACCAGTCATCTCAGAAACAGCTCAGCTCTGATGAGAACAACAGGTCTTGGTGCTGATTAATATCAAGCCTTTTTATGTATAGGCAAAAACAAATACTTCACAAAACTATAATTCACCAACTAATGGTTAAACTTTTGTTTGAGTCTCTGTCATCATCATCAAAATATTTTTTTTTTTTTGCTACTAATGCTTTTTCAATTTAATTAAAATGCAAATGCAAACAATGGACTGTTGCTCATTTTCAGCTAATTGGCTGGAATTAATTCACATTCACACTCCTCATCTGTTTCTAGAAAACATCAATCTCTCTGTTTGGTCTCCTTGTTTGGTTTTATGAAAAAATAATTAAATAATGAGCCATTTTGTTGAGCTCTAAATAATAATAATCTTTCTCCTATATTATCATTTCATTTGTGCGGACAGAGACAATGCCATATTTATGTTGGATTATTTCTTCACTGTGACATTCTGCAGTGGAATAAGAAGAATACGACTTTTTGCACCCAGTGCTGTATTCAACAGTTTTTCAAGTTTGATTTTGAAAAAAGTACAAAGGAACAGTTCATGACAGCACATGCAGTTTTCGGATAGATAAAATCTTGCTGAGCTGTGAGCAAAGTAAAGGATGATGCTGGTTTTTGTTTGGTTTTTTGGGGGGTTTTGAGGAATGCCGACAGGGACTTAGAGTAAGAAGCATTATACTGTACACGCTGTGTTCAGTTCAGTTTGATACAGCATGTATAATGTGGAGAGTCAGGAATGGTGCACAACAGATCAAAAGTTATTAGTTCATCTGCACGACTTAAATTCTTCCCTCACGGTGCACATGCAAGGCCGGGGCCTTTTCGAATGATCACATTTTGATTCAGCTGTAAAATGTCCAACATGGAAAAGATGAACTTGAACAGTATTATCTTGGATCAGATGGCATTCGTCTCAAATTCCAAAGCTTTGGCTGGCGGCAAACATTTGTAAACCACTTGTGGATTTGTGGTTATTGCACACATCCTCCTGTCTCACTTAACAGCATGTACAAAACTGTAATTCACAATTAATAATGATAATAATAGTAATTACAATCAGTCTGGGGAAACAGAAGGAGCCTGGATAGGTTTACATGCTAGGTTGCACAATATATTCGTTTTGGCAATGGCGAGTTTGATCAAAAGTGATCGTGTGTGTGTGTAGCTGTGTTTTGGAAAGGTCAGTCCTCATGACCCCGGGTAACTAACGACTGTATGTGCCAGCTCTCACTCATGGTCAGGACCTCCAAGTCGATAACCAAAACAATCAGGACACAGGGGCAAGTGGCTGAAATGAGTTTCTTAGAAAAGTGTGGCTCGGATCTGATTTCACTTTCACAACATTTAACTCTTGTTTTTCCAACTGCAGACATCACAAGCTTCAAGTTAAGTGGAAGGAAACAAGCAATCAGCAGTTTACACTGACCTCCTCTGCCGCTAGTGTTGTCTACATACACACACACACACACACACACACATATACACATATACACACATATATATATATATATATATATATATATATATATATGTATATACACAACCTGCTACAAACACAAACACCCAGAATCTAATGTGAAAGGCTGCTTCCTACTGTAATCACAGGGCAACAACAACATTTAGCTCATTAGAATATAAGAAAAGTGACAAGGCACTAGAACACAGTCGAGTGGATAGTGTGCTAATAACCATAGATTCTTAAAACAATTATTGATTCTCTTTCTCTGTTAATGTCACTACAATTCTGAGGTTGTGAATGTGGTCTGGAGAGATTGTAGCAGGTGGAGCATATTTTTTGACTTTGAAGTATAAATAACCTTTTACCTGAGCAAAAGATGATTCAACTTTTTCAACTGTCCCTTGAAATTACTTTAAATTTTAGACATAAACACACAAACACACACGACGGTGAAGCCACACTGAGGTATTAGCATGTGTCTTCCACAGTGTGTATGGTGCATGGCTTGTAATGTTTCCCATTAGTTACAGTAGCCTTTCCAACATCTGCTTTACATCGTATCTGTAGTTGCGTTTGTGAGTGCGTGCGTGTGTGTGAGTGTGTGTGTGTCCATACATCATGTGCTGTACTTACCTGAAGCCTCTCCCACCATGTTTCCCTGATGATGTCCCTCCTCTCTGGCACCAGCTTGTACTGGATCACCTCCTCCAGCTCTGACAGCATCTGGCAAGATACCATGGCCTGGAAAACAAACACACACACACACACACACACACACACAGATTCACTCTCAATCCACATATGCATTATTATATCATAGTTCAAAATTGTGCGGATGAGGCAGAAGCCCCTTCTGTGCAATGTAAAAGCATCATTAAAGCCTGTAAATTAACCGACTGGAGCTTCTTGTGAGGCATCTGTCAGAAAAAGGTCGGTCATCTGCATTTTGATGGCTTTGTTTACGTCTGACATTTGAAACAGCCTCTAAAATCTAGATGTCGACTGAAGTGTGTCGGCTGTCAGTCTTCATGGTGGACAGCTGCGGTATTTTGTAAATCAAAATCAACTCGGATCAAATGGCTTTTCATGATTGACATCTGTATGAGAGGGACACTGCAGCCTCTGGTTTGAAATGTTTCTTGTATAATTCCATGTAAATAGATGATAAAATAAAATCGGAGCTTGGCGCAGCGGAGAAACTGTCAATATTTATGATTTTGACTTTTAAAAGAGGGAAGTGCAGAGACTTAAATTTTTATAAATCATCACTTTAATAAAAAAAAAATTTTGTTGCTGTGGCATAATCCTTGTGCACATGAACTCCATGAAAAATGAGACGATCGACTGAAGCCAGAGGTTGAATATTTTTGGCGGTCTCGAAGGAAAACTTACCCCGTAAGCTCGACTGTAGCTCTCTCCAGCCATGGCCGTCAGCTCAGCATCCAGGAGGTCTCTTGCTTTATCAATACACTACATAAAAACCAAACACATTTACAGAGTCATCTTACATTTTAATGAAATCTGTAGGTTTTATTATCACACATAAATATAACAATGACACGTTAACAAGAGATAACCCAAATGCTGCAGATTTGGCCTCAACACAAACGTTTTCTTTCTGTTTTTATACATTGATCTTTTTACTCGTCTGCCTAAATGTGCAGCTTCTGAATTCACTGTAAATCCTCGACAGCGGTTAAAGACTGGTTGAACCCATGACTTTAGCCAACAAGCAGCGATAATGTCAACTCCTCATTAACGTAAAGACAGCATGACCCCAAAATGCACCGCGACACAATGTCACAAAACTCCTCGCATCAGGGCGAGCCGAGGCTGAACAAAAACACTTTGTACAAATGAACAAAGGCATCTCATTGCCTGATGTTCACACCCTTTTGCTGCCAACAGTGACACATTAGTGCAACCAGGACCAAAATGCCTGCTTGTATAGCAAAATGATTTGATGCACCGCTGAGCGCCAAGTGTTTTATGAGCAGAGGTAAATGAACTGTTGAGAGCAACAGAGTGAAAGTTATGTAACAATGGTTGTGGATGTCAAATGCATCTTTAAAAATTTTAAAATTGGAGAGCGATAAAGAAGGATTCAAAACGGGGACTGTTAGTCATGGTTTCCCGTAATGACCGTGATGCAAATTCTGACACGACCAAGTGTCAGAGCACAGTCACGCATCAACAATCTTTTTCCTACCTTCCTGTTCTTTTGGGTCTGATACTGCCTATTATTAACTCATTTGTTCCCTGATTTTTTTTTTTTTTTTTTCCTGCCAGGACAACACTTCTCCAAATTCAATGACACTGCACACATTCCAACACCGGCGAGAACTGAGGGGTGGAAAAACAGTAACGGAGAAAGACCAGATCAAGTGCAGCAAAAGGGGGACAAACAAGGACACAAGTACTGTTGGCGGAGAGTCTACAGACGTCTCGGGCTTCTACAGCCAATGTTTTAGGGGACCTGTTATTAGTGGGAGGGTAAAATGAGGGAGGATGACTGAGGAAGTTCTCTGAGGCCAGGACACACAGCTGTTTCAGACCCACTCCCACCAATTATTTTTTTCGTGGGGAGGGAGAGAAGGAATGGCGTGCCAAAACACCTCTTCAGGCATGCACAACAAGAGGAGGGGTTGTGGGAGGGTGGTTAGGTTAAGGTGACAATGAGGCTGCTTCTTTACAGCCTCCACTCAGTTATGGTCCTGTTTACTCCTGAATTACTGTGCTGGGGCCTCATTGGAAATGTGCAGTCCAGACGACTCCTGATAAATGCAGTGTCTGGCTTCTGGAAGCAAAAACAAACCATGACCCAATCTCCCATTCTCTTACATAAAGGTTACACTTATGTACGTACATAGGGTTAACTCCAGGGATATTAATTTATCATTACAGTGTGGGTGCGAAGGCCTCTGTCTGTGTGAATGGTTCAGACCGAATCAACCACTGGAGGAAACTCAACACAAAACCCAAACATGACTGAAGTCAGAGGGAGGGTTCTGGTTAGTGAAAACCATGAGACACTTAACAAATCAGACGCACTCTGGAGGACTGGATACATCATGAATCTTGGCACAGCAGACTGCTTTACTAGGGGGATGGTGGGGGGGGTGACCGCCATGTCTACACATCATCGCTGCAACAGACCAAACACTGAGATTTATAAAGCAAAGAAACTCAAAACCTTTCACACATATACGCACGCCGAGGCTCCTGCAGCACATGTCTGGTTGTTGGGGGTGAGGGGGGGGTATACGGGGAGGAAAGGAACAGCCCTATGGAATCAAAAGGACTCAAGTTCGAGGATTACCAACCACATCCGGAAGACTAGACTGAGCTCATGTTGACATTTAAGCTTTCACCCTCGCGCCATCTGCTTTTAATTCCTCCTCGTTCATTGCGAGTGGCCTCATTGTCAGCAAGAGTCAAAAGCCTGCTTTCCCTATTCAGCTGATACAGAGTCCTATAGGCCACACCTGGACTCAATCTCCAAATTAGAAGGTGGGGGGGGTGGGGGCGGCACACAGAGCAAGTCTCTAGGGCTTTGTGGTGAAAAAGGGGACTTGGAGGATGGGAGGATGAGTCCAGGGAAATTGGAGGAGCAGGTGTTTACTGTTGTCGGTGCTGGAGCCCGTGTTTGCTAGACGTGCTGGCATCCGACTTGAACAAATCCATTTCCAAGGAGCATGAGCTCATCCATGACCCCCCCCACCCCAACCTTCATCAAATGAGGAAAACACCACCCTGACCTCCGCCAGACCTTGTTGACAGGCGGACAGGAGGGGAACGGACTCTTTATTTGTTTTAAGGCTGAATGCTAGGATGATTTACAATTTCAAGAGTTGCGTAACATTTCCACACCAAAAGCTACCCACACTGTGTAAAAAAAATAAATAAATAAAAAGGAACTGGTACATTTTGTTTCTTTTAATAAAAAGCCTACGCTGATGGTGGAATCTGATCCTGACTGGAATAGCCGTAAAGCCGTTTTTAATGTTTCTTTACAGTGTTAGTTTCCAATGATTTTAGCTTTTCATACCTTGCTGTAAAGACTAATGAAACTTCCAGAAGCCGTGAGGCTAGGGTAATTCCCATGTGGCATGTCCTTATGAGATGTTTTTGAAAAATTATAGACCTTTAATGTACACTGAGCGGGGGAGGGAATGTGCTCCATCGGGAGTAATTGTGAGTGATGATGTAACCCACCTGCTGGGCCAATGAGAAGAGGTCCTGATGCAGGGCTAGCACTGCTCTATAAAAAGCGCCATCGTGCGTGTCTCTTGGGATCATACACGTGTACTCCTCCATGCTGTCCCAGTGCCCTGGAGAAGCAGAGAATCAGGTAAAGACACAAAGACAAGACATTTAACTATGGATGTCCTACAACCTAACTACTGAAGACCGGAGCAGATTGATGACAACAGAAGAAGGGCAGCGTCTTCAGCTGGACGGGCCTGATGGTCGGGTACGGTCTCAGGAGTTTACAACTGAGTTTGGAAAGTCTAAGCCACAGACCACAAACCTCCGAGGTTGCTTCTGCAGTGTGGTCCCTGCTTTTCTCCACCATTGCACGTTACGATATGTCAATGTTGTGACTGGATACCATTCCCATCTGGTTGTGAGAGTGAGAACTGGCAGGCGCCGCTACTGTTTTCATTGCTGCTCGGTTTGATTGCATTGTTGCAATGAGGCACGCAGAGGATGGTCTAAACGCTCCGTGCACAGGCCTTTTCATTAATCTCTCCTGAATGTTACTGCAGTATATTGTCCATTATTAGCATCTTCTTCTAATTACTGTTTAGTTAATATGTGATATGAAGTAACGGAGTGGTTACCTAGACCCCAGGCGGCAGCGGCGGCCATACGAGCCATCTTGGCCTGGGTTTCCTCGCTCACCAGCGTCCACTCCTCGCAGCACTGCTGGTGCAACTGGCCCCTGTAAAACATTAACCACAGGCTTCACATGGAAGAAAAGGCAAATCCAGATCTGTTCAGCACTGAGTTATGACTTCAGTGACGTCCCACGACATGTTCACAGTAATGACTTCACATATACAGAAACTGATCTGATCATCAGGTTTCCATGTTGATCAGGTATCAAGGTGCATAGAGGATTATTGAATACACTGTCTGCAGAATGGCTACATGGAGTGCTAAGAAGCCACTTGATCATAGGAATGCAAAAGCATCCTTGAATTATGCTCTTTGATTCCATCTGCAACGATCTGCATATCACACGGTGTCTCTGAGCTGCCTGAAGAACTGCCGACATTTTACAGCCGAATAAAAAGCACACATTCAGTAAATGGAAGAATACTCTGTAGAACATGATGAAGCTGGACAACAGAGGAGTGACCGACATGAATTTATAACCACAGTTACAAAGTGTTGATCAAAAAATTGCTTTAACTTCACGGCTTTTACAAATCGCCTAAAGTGATGCTGATGTTCTGGTTTTTATCCTCGAAAGATACAAAAGTTCTCCCGAAGTCCATGTTCTAATTATAATACATACACGCCAAGGCACTGAATTTTCTTTTCCTGTGCCAAAGAACAACAAATCATTCCTCAGAACAGCAAAGCACATCTGGCCAAGGATAAGAAGGGAACTGACTGAGATAAGACTTGCTTCTATTACATCTGCCAGTATTTATTTCTTCATTTGTTCTTAAAAGATGAACATCTTAAATCAGTGCACTGTCCCTCAACGTTCTAATAATGTCAAGCATCCCAGCAAAAAAAGATGGATGTTCCTGTCGGGGTCATGTGCAACTAACCAAGACTAATTCCTCATTTACAAAAATCAGTACTGCATTGTCCAGGAGATCAAACTCACGGCATGTGTTTTACAGGCAGGATGCTGGAGCGACCTTCGACACGAGAGAGAGAGAGAGAGAGAGAGAGAGAGAGAGAGAGATAGAGACACAGAGAGAGGGAGGGGCAGACGGAGAAAAAGACAGAGGCAGATTTGGAAGTCAGTGAAGTGAAGCCCTTCTCCAGCTGCCAGGCTATCAAATAACACGAAGGCAACAAGTACAAAAAGCTCCGGTACACCGGGCGCATGGGTGTCCACAGCAGACAAACACAAAGTCCAGTGGAAGGAGGAACTGGAGTTATTTTATGAGTCAGCAGACAATCTTCCACATCTTTGGAATTTCAATTGAAAAGTTCTAAAATAAATCCTGTGCATTAAAAAAAAAAAGAGACATTCATTTAGCAAAGTGTGGAGGTTTTAAAGGCCCCCCACACTACACACACCACTGCTCCGCTCACACAGGTGTGCTCACTCGAGGCTGATCGGACATCTCCATCACTCCCGTTAGTTTTTTCTCGTAGCCTTTCGAGGACAAACTCCACGTGCTAATGAAAGTAGTAAAGGTGTATTTATATATATATATTCTGTTTTTCCACAGTAGATATTTGGATTTTTCATCGCGGGGAAAAAGCACAGGTGAAAACACAATGGCTCAAACCCGTCAAGGGTGCAGCCTTCACCCGACACGCAGAATATCAGGACCCTGGAACGAGCTCACTCAGATTGAATGTAGTCGTTTTTACTTTTAATGTTATCAATTACACCTGAGCGTTTCCTGCTTTGACATGCCAACAATATCTGCTGTGAAAAAGGTCTATTACACCTTTGCTATTTTTATTACTATATGGGATTTTGGTGACATCCCATAATTCCCAGCACATCTCCAACCAACTGCAACCTGAACAGACCCTGACAATTGTAACTAATACACTCGCATCACACGGTGAGACCGTAACTCGTGCTGGATACCGGGAATTGACATCCTGGTATTTTGCAGTAAATTCTTACCAAAATCTTTTCCATGAACAAATACCTGCAGGGTCCCACAATTTTTTAGCATCCATGCGGTTACATCCTGAAGTCTGAACTATAAACAGCACGCACTGAAACAAAGAAGCTTTTCTCCAACGTCCAACTCTGAAATGCTGTTATTTTAGTCATATTATTTTTCATGCTTATTTTCTCTTTGTGGCAAAATATTTTTTTTTAAATATGCCGACTGCAAAATCTGAACATTAAAGGCTCTGAAATCCAATAAGTGGCTTCATCAGAAACACCGGGCCTCCGTCCCCCGGAGCGCGGTGTGCAAAGAATGGATGCACGTTGGAGTCTGAGGTGCCAAACATGAGCTTTAAAAGTATAAAACAGCTGCGGTAATCAGCAGCTTGATGTGTGAGTTTTAAGAGAACTGTTAAGAACTGACAAACTATTCAAACTTCCAACATCAAGTGTTTATATTTTTAAGATAAAGTATGATGATGGACATTTTCAGACTAAAGATTCTTTCGAAGATGTGCAGCTGCTCTCCAAGAGAGTCTGTTTGACTGTCAGAGCATTAACTGCATGTTAACAATCTCTCTCACCAGTTTGGGATTAACACACAGAGGACCTGTACAATACCCCCTTTAATGTACCAGAGAACAATGTGTTCTCTTAAGTCTGATCTCATGACCCTCTCCACTGTTACATCATCTCCAAACCTTACCCATCACAACACACAGACATAAACACACAAACCCCTCTCTAGCTAAATCATTTTTTCTTATAAAATGACTGAATCACTTTCTTGTGAGATGAATCACGGTGTATACAACAATGGCACGAGGACAGCAGGTTACATAAGCAAATTAACATCTGTTCGGCGTCATGGGTTCTGTGACGATTCCACATATTTTGATCCTTCGGACATCTTGTGACTTTCTTTTTCCCTAAAAAAAAAATGCTCTTTGAAGGTGAGCGGTTGTTACGGGGTTGAGCCTCAGCCGTGGTGAGGTTTCGTTGGAGTGGCAGCGCCTCTTACTGGTGTTGGATGCCTGCTCGTGCATTTCCTGGTAAAATTACATTGGTTGACTCAGAGAAACTGTTTTCTCCCTTTTCGCTCTGTCATCAAAGGCACTAATGTCAGGACTCATTAGGAAGATGCTGCCTAGGCACGACTAACAAATAAGAAAGTGGGAGATTCAAGAGCTCACAGTCTGCAACCTCAGACGCTGTCTCTATCCATTAGAGCCAAGGTCAGACACTGAAGAACCCAGTGTGCTCTTTATTCCATCACTTCAGTGAATCACATTCATATCAAGGAGCCCAGGGCACACGGTGTCAGACAAAAAAAAAAAACTTATGGTAAATTGAATACAGTCAGCAAACATTACAAACAGTGAGTCTACCGTCAGTGTTTATATATGAAACCATGTATCAATGAATCTGCGACCTGAAGGCAGAGACCCTCATTCGAATGAGTCGACTACACTCACAACAGATATGACTAATGACATACCATTCTCCCAGGGCCTCTAAGCAGCGCATCCTGCCCAGGATGAGCTCTGGATCCTCTTTGTTCAAGTCGATCTTCTTGTCGTATGACACCAGGGCATCTTCCCACTCATGCAGCTTCTCATACCAGGTGGCTTGGATTTCCTGGTGGAAAAAAAAAAAAGAAAAGAAAAAGAAAGAAAGAAGAATGAAACAGGAACCATGTAACTATAAAAATCTGCACAATTAACCTGGACTTTTTCCTCTTTCATCACATCGCCAAAATATGTTGTTTTTTTTATTTTATTTCATTATCTTGACCATTTGACAATTTAATGAATTGATTTTAGAGCGAGCAAAGAGTTTTTGAACTACACTCCACGTCCATCTACAATCAGACTTCCACAGCTCACTTTCATTATAATATTGCATGGCTGATTGGAGATTTACTCAATCAATCAATCAGTCAATCAATCTATCAATCAATCAATCCTGGAGCTGTCACATCTAAACGTTGACCTTGTGTAATCTGTCTATTATTATATATTATCTGTTTTACAATCTGTGTTTTTGTATTGTTCTTGTACTGTTTTCTCAATATGCTTTTTATTTCTATTTTTTATTCTTCTCTTATTTCTCTTAGACACACTGAATGACCTCTGTGTATGATAAAGTGCTCTACTAATACATGACTTTGCCTTTTTTAGGAGACATCAACCTATGATAAAACACACATAAACATATATATATTTCTTACAACCTTTCTTAACTGATGATTTCTGACTGGTGTACTAAACAGGGAAACCTTACATCTGCCCACAGTAAAGCTTTCCAAATGGTCACCTCATAAACAAGGTTCCTGGAAGTGCACAGTGAAACTGTTTTTACTGAGTCTTTTCACTTTTACCGTGTTTTTACAGAGAAGCATAAATGCAGTTCACAAAGGCAAAAGGAAAGGACCTTTACCATGCGAGTCCTAATGGCTGGGAAACACTTTTGTCTGGACTTTCGGGCTGAAACTAAACCTGTCGTAAAATCAACTGAATGCTTTCTATTAGGAAATACGATATTTAGTTTGTCTCTAAAACACAGCCCTGTTTTTCCCACCACTGAGCAAATACATTAAGTTCGTCAACACCAGCCAAGCTCTTGAATTTGGATTTGTGACAACTGCAGATCGTGGGGGAAAAAGTAAAAACATTGAGTATTGGTAACTCTTGTTTGCTAATGGATCTTTGTTTTTTTACTGTTAGGGCACAAGATGCCATAAATCTTACATTTGTACATCACACAGCAGCGTTTCATTTTAACTTTCTCTCCCATATGGCTGCTTTATGCATTTTGTTCATGAGGTCAGTTAAAATTGTCATGTTTTTTTTTGTCTTTATATTTATTGTCTTTATGTTGGATTTTAATATAAATATATGGTATTGAAGCTTTTTCTTTTTTTAAAAGAATAAATGCCATTTATCATGTTCATTCTAATGAAGTAATACCAAACACCAAAATGCAAAAGAATGGCTATTTTACATGTTTTATTAATTAGTGGTGACAGTCGAGTTCTGTGGCACGGTGGAATAAGCTACATCAGGTTTCAGCTAGACACAATACTTGTTAATAGTATGAATTACTTAGTGGTATGAATTAAATACAGATAATTACTGGATTTTGGTCTCAAGCTAGAAAAGGATGAAATATCACAAGTCTATTTAACCAGAACCATTCAGTGAGACTGGTGTGGTCTGTTCTGCTGTGGTTAAGCTCATGATTGGTGTTGAATTTAAAAGCCTGTTCAGTCCATCCCTACAAAAAAACAAACAAAAGCCACAGTGATGCATTTTTTGGTAAAAGGGAGAGACGAATCAGAAGAGAAAAATGCTCTGTTCCTCTTATGTAACTGATGTGGAAAGTCTGTGCGAGGGTGTCCAATGCATGTCTACTGCTAAAACAGTAATTTCATATCTGGACCGGGTCCATCTACAGAGAACATGAAGCACTTAGGAGTTTTCAATAATATCAGACAGGTGGAGTCCTCGACATGACCAGAAAACATTAGCTAAAAAAAACCCCAAAAAACCAATGCTGACGTTCAGGAATGACATATTCTGTGGTTTTCAACTTGGCCTGTCCAAAGTCACAAAGGGACTTCAAGTAAATGAAGCTATTTAGGGACCTTACAAACCACTCGCCATTAAGAAAGAATTACCGTTTGTATTTTTTGGTATGGAGCATTAAATCCTCTTACCACTTGGGAAAAAAAAATCACAAAGTAAACCCAAGTAGTTTCTGAAAAATCCAGATCAGAGAGACATAAAAGGTGTGCAAATATGTAATAAAAAATCCTCACATCCTGTCAATTGGATGATAAAGTCCATAATTCTGCTCCTTGCCCCCCCCGACTACTGAACAGCATAGCAGATGGTTTTCCACGTGATGCACATTAAGAACAGGGTGTTCTCGGGGGTATGTGTCTCGAATGACCCTCATCCCCGTGTTAAACTGTGTGTATGGGGATGAGAAATCCTGGGAAGGAGTGTACGCAGACAACAGACCACATGCAATACAACGGTCTCAGTCGGTGCAAAATGAAATACAAACAAGTTTGAAAATCGAGTTTAAAGACTTATCAAATGTAAAGATAAAGCAATGTGGTTTGTACTTTTATAAGGTTGAATATTTTAACAACTGCAGCAATCATTTCCTACTGTGTCCTGTAGAATTAGCACAATGTTACACATGCATACTACAAGGTATTCACCTGCTTGAACGTGTTTGATTGGTTGGTGTAGCGTGTTGTCAAATGGCAAAAGTTGAGCCAGTTTTAACATTTTTGATGAAAGATCCTGTTTTGGTTTTCTGTTTTTTTGTTTTTGGCAAGAGCCTTCAGCAGCAGCACCCCTGCTGTGCTAGTGTGCTGTTATGACTGAATGAAGACAGGAGTTTATGTCCCAGTGTCCAAATATGTGGTTTCCCTTTTTTTTGGGAGACAGAGAAAAGAGCACTCACCAGCTCCCCAAAATGTTTCATGGCGTACTCCAGCACCCCGGACGCGGCTTCTGGCTGCTGCAGTTTATTGTTGATGCTGCAAGACAGGACAAAAACAGAGACAAGACAAGCTTTAGCACAGCAACATCTGCAAAACTATATTTGAGGAGCTCTATAGTTCAGTATGTGGACAACACATAGATGCAGGTAGCACTGAGACCATCCCAGAGGTCCAGCTATCTCACCGTACATACACAGAATGTCTACAACGGCTACCTTACGAGTACAAGCTGAAAATGAGGTTCTGTAGTTACAAGATGTTACGGTTATTAGCAACATCCTCTTTGTGAGTGTTTATACACAGCAGGTGCTGACTGTATGACAGATGTGTGACCTTTTCTGGGAGGAAACTTTGAATGTGTTGACATACAGTGGCTTCAGAGAGTATTCAGACCCTGTGTTGTAGATTTCATTTTAAATGGATGGAGAAATGCTATTTTCAATTCATTTTCAATCAGTCTACACTCAGTATCCCGCGATGACAAATTATGTCCAATCAATTCAACTCAAATCAAAGCAAAGAGGATACAACTGACCACATTTTGGAGGGCAGCAACAAAGGGTCTGAATATTTGGTAAATAAGAGATTTCTGTTTTTAATAAATTTGCAAAAAAGAAAAATCTCCAAATTGCTGGAGCTGCAATTTATTTTGATAAGATAAAATGTGCCACAATAACAAACCATAAATAAAGCATTGTGGTGCTACAGAGATGCCCCCCGGCCAAGGGAACATAAACTTGTTTGGCAAAAGCCGCAACAAAAAAAAAAATCACATCATCATCACTTTTATGTTTTTTTTTTCCAGTGAAAATGAAATGCAAAAAACGATCATTCCAACTGCGATCATCACTCATATCGCAATCTGTCAAATATAATTGTAATATGTCTCTTTTTGCATTTTGTTCAGCCAAAAGGCAATTTTATCCATTTAAAAATAAAGTATGAAGGAGTGTCGACACCAGGGGCTTCACCAGGCCGATGAACCATTAGGAATCAGTAGTGTAGAGACAGGGTCGTGATCTCTCACCAGCTTCCCAACCACAAACACTGAGACTGTTATGATACAGACCCAAGCCAGTGGAAACACTGACACTGAACCCTGGGTTTCTCCGGTGTTAGGTGAGAAGTGTGTCCCTGTGTGTGTGTGTATGTGTGTGTGTGTGTGTGTGTGTGTGTGTATGTGTGTGTCCATATTCCCTTGAGAAAAGTAATTCACCCAACGCTCTGAGGTAATGTTACCGGTCGACTCAGAAACCTGCCTCAATGCGTTTTTGGTAATGTGAAATAAATGTTTCCTCTTTCAGCAAATGTGTGTTTTGTGAAAAGTAAACGCAGCTATTGACATTTGTCACACTCATCCGACAAATGATGCGTCATCTGTCAAGACGCCACAAATTTCCCTTTGTACACCCTCCACTCACCCGCACTGCCACCACATCTGGAAACACTCATACGAACCACGGGTCTATTATATTTCCTCAACTGCAAAACCCGTGTGCAGCCACGGGAAATTCATCTGTAAAATGTAGCGTTTGAAGAGCACTGGTATGCAGTGGAGTTCCTGAGGACAGTGGGCAAAAGCTGATGAGGGATACTTGAGCATATATGTCAGAAACCTGGATTGACACAGGGTAAAGGCCAGAGATGTGTGATGAAATGGCACAGCGAGTGGTCGTGCCAAAGCGTAGGAGGCCTCTGGTGCAGACCTGCATGATGACAGGTAAAATAACAAGTAATCACAACAGGAGGGAGTCTTGTGTGTAGTTGGAAACAAGAGGACAATCAACGGCACTTGTTGTCAATGCAAGTAAAATGTAACTGTTTCTGCAGTTTGGTGTCTTCAGGAAAGAATTTTCTGCAACTTCAGATGCAGAAATCCCCTTTTTGCCTCCTGATACCAAGTCTGTGCTGATGCAATAGCAGTGCTCTGTTTCCTTTTTCAACTGAACACTTTTTTCTACGTGTGAGAAAACACTTTTTTTATGCCTTTATTATAGTAGCAGTGAGAGAGAGTGGAGATGACATGCAGCAAAGGGCCACGGGTCGGATTCGAGCCCGGGCTGCTGCAGATTGGACTGAGTATGTGCTGTGACAGGTGAGCCACCGAGGCGCCCCCATAATACCATTTCTAACTGCACACGTTCGTACACCGGCACTTCACAAACAGGACACTTTTTAATGACAAAGAGAAGACACACGGATCTGGATCCTGTGTTTTGGATTGTTGTCTATATGTAGAACATTTACAGACATGCCGGGAAGCTACAGAGACTGACACAACAGTGACGCCTCGTATCTTGTAATCAAACACAGATTATAGTATGTGCATACCATATGAAAGTATTATGTTACTAAATTACAGGTACTGGCCAATAACAGTCCTGCTGAGGTACTGGAGTGCTCCTAAAATGGAACTGCATTACACTTACAACAGGATCTTCAGAACTGAAATATAAGTTCTAAGATCTACCACAAACCACAAACAGCGATCTTGTGTGTGACAGTGAATATTATCCTTTCACACACTCCAGCATTTTAAGTAATTTTTCAGAGGACGCTGGTGTAAACAGATGACGGAGAGCGTAAGACTTAAGGACCTGAAGGAAATCAAATGAGACAGAGTGTGACTGCCTAACATGAGAACGTGAGCTCATTTCAGTAAATAAGCATTTGTCTGCGTCTCTCACGGGGCTTGATAGAGCGCCCTGCACTGTTTCAGCAACCAATTAAATAATTATCGCACAGTCTTCAATAAACACAACTACCATCCATTATTCAGCCTAACGCTGACGATATCACACGGCTATTTTCTGTATACTCGGCCGTTTAAATTGAGCTTACAAATTACTACCCGTGGTCAAACAATCAATTTTTTTTAAAGCAGCGAATGAAGAGAAAAACTGCAAGGCCTCCATGTCCCACCACACACAAGCTGACGAGGTATGCTAAAGCCGCCCAGATGTGGTTTTATCTGAGGAGACAAATCAGAATAAGGGCTTTCTCTCCTCTGGACCCTGGAGATTTCATTGTCCCTCAGCTGAAGCCATCTGGCTGCCAGCTCCGAGCACACACAGTCTAAACACATCCAGATGACAAGGCTCACGTAACGTTCCCCTCAAGTAAAAACTCCATCAAACTATTAGCAAGCAGAAAAACTTCTTCAGACCACTGCCGAGTCTTTCTCTGGTGCACAGCTACAGGTATCACTTCCCAACTGGAACGTTCCTGTGACTTGTTCCTCTGAGGCACGGAGAAGTCGCTGAAAATACTTTTTTTTTTTTTTAAATCAGCTGTAAAACTGCCGTGATTTATTATAGTTTGCCGTGAAATTTAGTTAATGCGCCGTGTGTCCTGAATCAGATTCCTTTTGAGATTTAATTCAAAACCTCAAGCGAATGAGGTTAACATGCGGTTCTTTTCCACAATAGTTCAGGAGGGAAGATCCTTTGACAGCACTCTTTAAATGCATGAGATCAGCCTGTCGACTCTGTAATGTAAACAAAGCTAAATAGTTGGAGAGCAAATTAAACGACACATTTTACACGACAAATCCAGACCCTACACCTACATTGGCCGTACCTTCGGCCAAATACAGAAAGAACAGTTTTGTCTTTCTGCTTACTTTGTGACTAGGAATTTTTATTGCCTCTTGTATTACAAAAGCAGAGCACTGCACCATTGCTCTTCAAATATCTCTTACCAGAGGCATAATTTCATCAGAAATGCTGACTGAATCTTTCAGCGGGGGCCTACGTTCAGGCATGCTGCTAAATTCAACACAGGGAGAAACAAATCATTCCACTCACATTTGCTCAAGAGTGTAACTCAAATGATTTATCGCATTGCAAACCCTAAAGCCGTGTGTGTACATTAGGTTTTGATTAATCTAATACATTGAGGCATGATTACCTTGGGTCAGAAAGCACCGAGAGGGAGCAGAGATGTATATTTTTTCTTTTCAAATGTTAAACTCTTGATCACAGACGATGAGTAAAGTTTAACGGAGGAAGAAAATCCCCTCCACTCCAATAAAATAATCCACAATCCCCCATCTCAACTATTCTAAAGTGGCTTGGATTTTTCATTGAGAGGAGAGATCGTGTAAATATTTCCCCCCACAGAGGGTAAAGATGTATGAGAAGCTCAGAGAGAGAGAGAGAGAGGGGAAAAATCGGACCTCACTACTTTACCTAATCTAACCTAATTAAGATGATATCCACTTGATCCTTACTGATTTTTGGGCTCTGTGCTTGCCAAGTGCTGACTCCATTCCTTAACATTGAACATAATAACATCAAAATAGGAATGGCTTTCTAAACTCTGTTCATGGATGGGATGATTCAAAGTCCGATGAGTTACTTTATAATGCTGTAAACATATTTGTAAGTTTGGGATATTTGCTGAAATTTAAGACTCTGTCGCGTGGAAAGATGTAAATGCAATGACTTAGTTCATGTTGCAAGTTTCCAGCAGTGCAGTTACTATCATGACTGTCCTGCAGGTCACTCAAGAACCGCCAAACCTTGTGATACTGTTAGGGACTGACTGCCCATATAAATGACAACATTTCATTTGTTTTGGTTGAATGTTGCTCAGGGTTTGGACGCTGTCAAACAGGCTGAATCTTGACGTGCGATTAGCTGAAACAGCAGCTGCTCGGTGGCAGATCTTTCACGCCGCTCAGCCTTACATTCATTCGCACGACGACATGCACAGTGGAGAAGTGACACGGGCTGTCTGACACTTCTCTGGCCTTTGTGCCTTAAGGAACCGTTCATTCGTGGGGGGCAGCCAAAATGCAATCAACAATATTCCCAGACAGAGGGAACCCAGCTATCTAGCACCTTGGGGGGGGGGGGGGGGAACGACTTCTTTCCATTGCGCAGGCCTTGTCCCCGGCAAACTACAGATGAGAAACGGGTGAAGTCAGAACCTTGTTGACAAAACACACACTACACTAATTCAACCGACCACTGTCTCCGACACAAACACCGAACAGGCGAGGCAAGAGGGCATGAGGAGGCCGGTTTAAGAAA